ATGAATATGTGAACTTGTCTCCTGTTATGTATTGGAGTTTTACAGATATCCAATGAAATTAACTCAGATTCAGAGAAATTGAGTCAACTTCAGAAAATCATCCACCAGCAGCAGGACAATTTATCCCAGCAATTGGGCAATGACAATAACTTTCCCGTGGAGGAGCAATTTCTCAAATCACAGATCTCCAATCTATTGAAGAGGCAGGGACAAATGGCCATCAAACTCTGCCAAGAGCTAATCAGTCACATTTCAGGTAATCAGACTCAGAACTGCTGACCGGTCAAATGGGATCTGTTGCCCTGGTTTAAATTGACCATGTACCCCAACTACCTCTGAGTATGAGTTATATCATTCAATGACCCTTAATGATATCCCAAGGAAATATACACATTGATTTAATATTTTTGAAAACACAAGCAAATTTGGGGAGTATCTTGAATGATTCCAATCTGGATACTTCAACCACTCATTTTATTAACTGTTTGTAGGTGATCCTAGTGTTATGAAAAGTTAAAAGCATAGCTGGTAATTCTGAGGCCAGAAGACTGAGCAGTGAAAAGAGAATCCCCATTGCCCCATCCTATGACTAGGGATGACTTTATTTTCAGAAGCTCCGAAAGCAGTGTGTTTTCAGGGAACTGGCTCTCAGACCCTATTGTTCAATTAAATGATCTAGTTTCCAAAGCCTTCTCCAGAGTTGTTGAGCTTGTTACTGTTGGGTGTAATTTTTTTCAGACCACAGGTGTAATCTGTGACAATGGTACCAAAACAGTTGCTATTATTTTACAACAAATGAAGAGAAAACCTGGACTAACAGTAGAAAGAACTGCATAGACAAGAACTCCACCTTGGTGAAGATAGACAGCTTGGAAGAAAAGGTAGGATTGAGTCTCCTTCCCTAGTTATAGAAATTATCCATACAGTGAAAGGTAAATAAATGAAATTTCTGATTCACATTATGAAAATGCAGTGCATTTGGAATGGATTTAATGAATGTTCTCATCTATCTTACATCCACAAACTACAATGTGACTCTCACATAACAATTTTTCTCTGTTTTCTCTCTCAGGATTTTCTTAAGTCGCAGCCATTACCCATGTTTTCTTTCTTTTGGTTGGGATTATCATGGGACCCCTCTGGCAGAAGTTGGCTATGGGAGGATGGCTCTATTCCCTCTCCATCCTTGTAAGTCTATAAGTATTGGGGCAGGGGAACTTTCCGTGGGACCCCAAGAAAATTAATAATTATCTCAATAATTATAAATGTGGATACAAAAAGAAGAGTACAACATACAAAACTAAAAGCTCCAGGAGCAAATACTGAAAGGATGGGTACCTGATTGCATCTGTGTGAGAAATTTATGGCAAGGAACTGAACTTTATCTTTTAGTTTAAATTTATTTCTTTATTTAACACATTCATGTAATACTGAATATGTTCAAGTACTTAATAAATATTAAACCTTGAAGAAAGCACTGTTATATTCCCATTTTATGGATAAAAATGTTATCACTGAGAGATTAAACAACTTGCCCGAGGTCACTCAGTTCATGAATGACACCGTAGGGACCATGTGCTCAGTCGCTCAGCTATCCTGGTTTTCCAGCACTTACAATCCAGAAGGGTGGTGGTTGTCATAAGAACATACATTCATTTATATAGAAAAATTATCAGCCATTTTCTAACAGACAGTAAGTCTGAATTGACTGATCAGTTTAACCATTAGTTTCATAGTGAAGACTTGCCAATTAGAATATATGTCACATGTCTGCTATGAGTTGAAATGGACTAAATATGTCACTTTAAGGTTTTGATGAACATATTTAAAGTACATATAAAATATATAACATTTGGAAAATTACACTTTTTTGCAACTATTTAAAGTTATGAAAAAATAGACATCAACTTAAAAATGGATAAGGGAGGCCATAGTTTTGCAAAATTCTTTTAGAGTCTATAAAACCCCAAATTTTGAAAAACAGTCCCATCATAACTATATTTAAATGACAATTGTATTCATCTTTTAAATATAATAGGTAGCATTTTATATTAGATAAAATTTAAGATCACTGATCCTCCTGGGTATAATGATTTTTTTTTGATCTACCTCCCTCCTCCAACAAATCATTAATGGAACCACCTCACTCCTCTTCTAATCTTTAAAGCATGTTGTCAAAGTTTTCTTAAACTGAATTATAATCACTCATCTTCTGTCAAAGATACTGTGCTTCAGCTGCGACTCCCCAAATTCCTTGAATAACAAACAATAATAGGTCTATTCTTTTTCTCCCTGGATATACCTTATTTTCATCCATTACCCAAAGTTTTGTCATGGCTATTTCTAATTAAACACCAATCTCCCACTCTATAGTCGCCATTAGTCATAGTACATCAACTGGTCTGGTTTCACACAAATAATAATGGCCAAAAGCACAAGCAGAGTAATACACAAACAAAAATGACAGTTACTTCCTCGTAACTGGAGCAACATGGGCATGAAATGATTAGAGTTAATCTGAGGTGTTGCTACTAGACTGAGGGTTTACAGGAGCAGTACCATGACATCATGTCAATGAGCTAAGTCTGCATTTTGGAGCCTAAGATGTATCCCTTCTCTTAAAGGGATGCTAATTGTCCTTGACCCCCTCCACCCACTCTTAATCAAAATGGAGGAGGTGGCCCCTACAGCAGGGCTCATGGCCTACAGACATTGACCCCCGGAGACAAGCAGCTGTCAGATCAACCAGGGCATCAAACTCAGTTAGTAAGATTGAGGTTCGGGACTATATAGCCATTTCCTTGGGCCACTCTGAGCAAGTGCATGTGCTAAAACGAAGGTTTAGTAAGCCTAGTCCTGAGGCAAGAACAAACTATGGCAGTGTAAAGCAGGTCATTTGGGAAAAAAGCAATGTAAGGCACACAAAATATTCAGACCTGACAAGCATAATTTTCTAATGACATTACTTAAGGGGACTATTTCTTGGTGAAGAAATAGGGGCCTATTATCAGAACCACAGTGTATAGTCATTCATTTCCTCTCTTAACCTCTGTCTTGTTCTCTTTTTACTCCTACATATGTATAAATACATGCAAAATTATATTTGTGCATAGTAAAATGTAATAACTTTTACGTAAAGTGTGATTTTATTTTTCTGTTTTTCTTCATAAAGTTTCAAAGTAAAGAATTCTAGTACTTCTATAATAACATAATCTGGGCTGGGTAGATTTTATCAATACACTCCGTGTTAATGGAGGAAGTCCACATTCTCAGCCCCGAATTTAAGCATTCTTTTTAAAGAATTCTACCTGGGATCATGATTAGCTTAAAGAATTCCGATGTGCCAGCTTTGAGGATTTTGAGGCTTTGCGGAGGCAGACGTCCCTCAATATTCAAACACATGACATTGGCTGCAAGGGCAACTGAGAATACCAAATGGTGATCAAGTTTCAAGTGCAAAGTTTAGACTTAATTTTAAATCAATCGATTTTCAGATTTAGTACCAAAGAACTTGCCCAGATCAATGGATCCCGAGGATGCGCTTATTTTCAAAAAGGAAATATTTATATTTCTTGCTGCAGTGCTGAAATTTCTTGGATTTGTGAGAAGACAGCTGCCCTAGTGAAGATTGAAGATTTGGATTAATATGCTTCTTCCAAATTCTCCAAGAAGTAAGAGACTTGTGAAACAGCTTACAAAATGACTGTATTTAAACCATCAGGCAAATGAACTTGCTTCAAAGAACATTCCCCACTTCATTGTGTGATAATGTTCTTATTAATAAGACTTAAAATTATTCCCCGGGACTTAGGGGCATAGCTGTTCTATGGCCCTATTTGGCCCTATTATTCTGTCTCAGAATCATTTCACTGAAATTTCTTCTCTCTCTCAATAAAAGACTCTCTTCTTGCTTTACTATTACATACAATAGTATCATTGGGGTGATACCGAAATATTTAACAACCAGAATGGATACAGGCGACGGCACTAGAGCAAAATCCAAGAGACCCCTGTTGTGATAGTCGCTGGATCGTGTGGAGGTCTGAGGGATCCCAGGGTAGACCTTGGTAGCTGTGGCTGCAGCACTGTGCCAGCTGATTTGGCCATATTTTAGTATTTTAGCAAATGTTTGTCTGTACCACTGTGTATCAGCTAAGTATCAGCCTGCACATGCAAAATAACTCTTCTTCCCCTATGTTCCTATAAAAGTACGTTTTTATTAATCTTTAAAATTTAGATAAGTTGTAATCTAGGTGAAGCAGTACAAGCATGTAATGTTTGCATTTTTATCATTTATTTAAATCAGTAATATTCAGAATATTGATTTTGTAATTTAGGTATTATTATTGGAAAAGTTTATTATCTTACAATTAATGTTTTATTTTTCTCAGAAAAGTCCTAATGAATTGTTTGAAGACATTAAGATTTCAGAAGTATTATCTTTCATTCTTTAGAACTTTCCTAAAACACCTTGTGTCAGTTTCCCTGCAGATCAGATGCTAAACATTGTAAATATAGGGTTCAAGAGTTTTTCTGGA